AGTTTTGAACACTTGAATGATCAGTCTACCTCTAAATTTGACTCACTGTCACACATCTGATAACATAATGAATACAAACTGTCCCCCAAGTAAAAACTGTCATGGCCCAGTTTAACAACTGACTTTGATTTATCACTTGCGTAATTTGCCTGTAGGCTCTTGATGTGTATGCATGAAGATACATGTCTGATTGTTTGAGAACTCTTAAAACAGCATTTTTTTTTTTGTCATTAAAAAATCATGTGTGTTTTTGTATCAAAGGTGCATTAACAACCTTGAAGTATCATGCCTTTTGGGTATAGGGGGTTGTTCTCCTGCTGTCCACTAGGTGTCAGGCTTACCTTAATTACCGGATTATGTAATGTTTGCTGAGTGTGCTGATGCTGTTCCCACATCATTCATCCTCCATAGGTTCAGACTGTTGACCTTAAACCTGTTTCACACATCTTAAAACATAAAACAACCAGGTACGAATAAGCTGTCAACTGTAGATGGAACACGATATGTTTATGCCTACTCCATCAAGTATAAGAGGCTGGCCGAAAAACAGAAAGTTTGTTGTGAGATTAAAGTTAAAGCCATCATCTCTGTATTTTAATGTACTACCCGATGCAGGAAGTGTCCCGTGAACTTTATTTTTGTCAACTTAAAACTAATTTACCAAATCCAAACTCCATCTAGGGATACTACTGTAGGGACGGACAGTAGTAGCTCAGGAGTTGTCCAGCAGGCAGAGGGTTGTACGACTGATACTATCGCGTTTAATGCGTGCCACAACCCGTGCACGCGCATTGGGTCCACAGCGCGCGTGTGAACGGGACTCGCGAACGAAAATATACATGGCGAGAGGTCATTTGTGCACTGAGAGGGAGCAACCTGTGTCTGTGAGCGCACAAGTGACAAACCTGCGTGCGCGCGTTGTCAACGACCACACGGCAGAGGAAAACGTGCGCGCGCGGCAGCCTCTCTGCGCGCTCGCCAGCCTCTCTGCGCGCTCGGCAGTAAAGGGGTTTTGGCACTCTGGAGGCGTGGCCTGTGGCAGATCTTCTCTGTCCTCTGATTGGTTAGTTTTTCCCGCACTTCACCCTCTACCTCATTGGCCGATCTTCTCTGTCCTGTGATTGGTCATATTTTGTACCTTTCTCCGTGCCTTTTAGTTCAGCCAGAAGCTCAGCCAGGATGTCGAAGGATTCAGAGGTAAAGTAAAAAATGACTTACGAAAGTGTCCAGGTTAAACCTAAAAGTCACCACGGCAGCTCGGTTCTATCTTAAACGTTGTTGTCAAAAGTGCCTTATATGTGCTATCACAAATTCGTTCCTTTTTCACCGCCATTAACGTAACGTATTGTCTCCGCATATATCGTTTTGTCTTATAAATCTCTTCAGTTTTGCCTTCATTAGAATTTTAGCAGGGAAACCTTTGTGATAATATTACTTTGGGCCCACAATGACAGGGAGAATTGCAGGAAGCTGCTCGGCGTGTGGTGTCCCTGTTGCAGAATGCCCTTTCTGACCCAACATCATCTAGAGCCAGTGAGAACTGTTGCTTTTATTTTGATTTTGCCCACAAAGTTATAACATAAAGCATATGTTGTATTTAACAATTGAGAGTATGATTTTGCTCTGTCTGAAATAATAACAATCTGCAGACCAGGGAAACACAGGAGGACAAGGAGTTCAGCAGCAGAGTAACACTGTAGAACAGAGCATGGCAAGGTTTGTTACTCTGAGGCATTAGTGTTTCACAGTATTAATATTATGATTATTATTATCGTTATTAACAATTTTATAAACCTTTCAGGTGTAATAAATGGGTTTACCATAGTTAGGCTGTCCCATTTATGCATTTTGCTGATTGGCATTTGTTTTATTTTCAATCTTCTACAGATCATTTCCAGGAATATTTGGAAAAAAAAATTTTGGGAAAAAGCGAACCTCTTCATGTGCTGTAAAAGGGTGTCTCAATCCTGTCAAGTCGTTTCCAGTACAATTTTACTTGGTCAACAAAAAGATGGAGACAACACCTAAAGTTTCTGATGAGCTGAAACTTCTTCAGGCAGGGATGGGTCGGCGAACAATCAACATCACGGAGGATGCTGACCATTCATGGGTAAATACGTATAATAGAAAATTATAAGTGATATTAACTGCTGTGCACATTATCCAAATAATGAAACATTATTTTATTTGTTTGTTTCATAGGTTACAATGTATGAAATGTTCTTTAGGAATCTGTTTTTTTTATGTGTGAGGCAAAAGATTTCACATCACATCAATTATTTATAGCTTTCCAGAAAATTGGAGGATGCATACTCTCAATTAGCAGCCTTAAAAGGAGCATGGATGTTATACAAGGCAGTTGGTAAGAAATGACAAATATAACCAGTACAGGCCCAAAGTTTGGACACCAACATGTTATTTTATTCAAAATAGCCACCGGGGTTTTTCCTGGCTCAAATTGAGGTAGAGATGGTACCATCCTGACCGTGCGCCAGCACATGCGCACTCTGTGAATTAAACTGCCTCACTTTTTTAAATGCCAAATATTTATTCGTTAAGTGTTCTAATCTAAGCTTCTGTTTATTAATAGAATATTCCATTTGACAATGTTTGAAATGAAAAAAAAAACTGGTTTGCTGCTAAAAATATGAAATCAAACAACAAAATTATCAGACTGAATTAAAAGACTCTTATTATGAAATGCTCAATAATATGCATTAGATTAGTGTTTATTTCCCTTTTTCCCATCTGCTATTTATAGTTAAAATATTTATATATATTTGACCTACATATCAGTAACATGTTAGATTTGTATTAACACTCATCTTAGTCAAAATGACACATAAATATATCCAGTAAAATATAATGCATTTCATTAACATGCATTTGTGTTTGTTGAGGGGGCATGGGAGTTTGCCCAACCAACCCACATGTGTTTTGTGTATTTGGAGAAGGCTTATGACCGTGTCCCCAGGGTCACCCTGTGGGGGACGCTCCAGGAGTACGGGGTGGGTGGCTTTCTGTTAAGGGCCATTCAGTCCCTTTACCAGAGGAGCGTGAGTTTGGTCCACATAGCTGGTAGTAAGTCGGACCTGTTCCCGGTGAGGGTTGGACTCCGCCAGGGCTGCCCGTTGTCACCGGTTCTGTTCATTACCTTTATGGACAGAATTTCTAGGCACAGCCGTGGTGTGGAGTGTGTCAGGTTTGGTGGCAGGAGAATCTCGTCTCTGCTTTTTGCGGATGATGTGGTCCTTCTTTGCTTCATCCAGCTCTGACCTTCAGCTCTTGCTGGGTAGGTTCGCAGCCTAGTGTGAAGCGGCTGGGAGGAGGATCAGCACCTCCAAATCTGAGATCATGGTTCTCGACCAGAAAAGGGTGACTTGCCAACTCCGGGTCGGGGGAGAGGTCCTACCTCAAGTGGAGGAGTTTAAGTATCTCGGGGTCTTGTTCACGAGTGAGGGTAGGAGGGATCGGGAGATCGACAGGCGGATTGGTTCGGCGTCTGCAGTGATGCAGACGCTGAGCCGATCTGTCGAGGTGAAGAGGGAGCTGAGCCAGAAAGCCAGGCTCTCGATTTACCGGTCGATCTACGTCCCAATCCTCACTTATGGTCATGAGCTTTGGGTAATGACCGAAAGAACGAGGTCGCGGATACAAGCGGCCGAAATGAGTTTCCTCCGTAGGGTGGCCGGGCTCAGCCTTAGAGATAGCTTGAGGAGCTCGGACATCCGGGAGGGACTCGGAGTAGAACCGCTGCTCCTCTGGATCGAAAGGAGTTAGTTGAGGTGGTTTGGGCATCTGGTCAGGATGCCTCCTGGACGCCTCCCTGGGGAGGTGTTTCGGGCATGTCCTGCCGGCAGGAGGCCCCCGGGTCGACCCAGGACACGTTGGAGAGGTTACATCTCCAATCTGGTCCGGGAACGCCTTGGGGTCCTGCCGGAGGAGCTGGTGGAGAAGGCCGGGGAGAGGACGGTCTGGAGCTCCCTAGTTGGGATGCTGCCCCCGCGACCCAGATAAGTGGAGGAAGACGACGACAATGGCATTTGTGTTTGAAATGGTAATAACATTTTATTTCTGCTGCTAACAATGTAATGGTGGCATGTCTATTATGTACGGGTTGGCAATAATCCAGTTTAAATTATGTTCAAAGATAGAAGCGTTTGTGAATTTTATATTACAACAGGTTGTCGTACTTCCTGCTCCTGTGTGACTCGTAACTGCAGCGGTTCAGATCTGTAGCGCTGCAGGATGCAGAATAAACAGGATGGTGGGGACTTTTCATCCGCTTGTAGAGTTTAGTCTTTCTTTGTTTTACGATCATCATATTTTTCTGTGCACCACTTGATCGTGAGACTGCTACCCCTTAGCTTTAGCATTAGCCAACATGCATGTAGCTGCACTTTTGATCCCAAACTTTGGACCGGTTCTGTCTTTGTGCCTTTGCTGGTTCCTTTATTTTCCTCCACTGCATCCAGATGATCACACTGTTTGCCAGTAAAAATCATTTTTCCTATACGTAACTTACTTTTGTTCAATAAAGTTCTGGGGAAAGGAGAAATTCAAAGCCGTACGTTTAAAAATAGACAGACACGCACAGACACCACTGTACAGCCCTGCTCTGATGTGGAAGAGCCTAGGGGGAAATCAGGACGTCAATAGCACCAATCATAGATATGTACCAACTAGCGAAAAAAGCAATTTTTGATCTTTTTCTGCAGCGATTTAAGTGCTTTTCAGTGCACCGCTGCTGATACAGCGCCCTGTAGTGGCACAACGCTGCAACTGCAGGTAAAATAACATCATATAGCTGGGGGCAGAGTGAAATCAGGCTGGGGCGCACAAAAATAGCTGGAGGCGGCCGCCAGCAACTTTGAATGCAGGAAAAACCCTGGCCACCCATTGCTCCGAATACTGCGTTGCACACTCTTGGCATTTTCTCCATGAGCTTCAAGATGTATTCACCTGAAATATGTGTGGGTTCTCTCCGGGTACTCCGGCTTCCTCCCACAGTCCAAAAACATGCCTGTTGGGTTGACTGGTCTGTCTAAATTGTCCTTAGGTGTGATTGTGTGTGTGCATGATTGTTTGTCCTGTGTGTCTCTGTGTTGCCCTGCGATGGACTGGCTCTCTGTCCAGGGTGTACCCCGCCTACTTGCCCGTTGACCCCCCGTGACACTGCGTGGACAAGCGGGTTCAGAAAATGAATGGGTGGATGTTTTTGAAAAGCTTTGATGCCTACTGTGAGAATTTACCAATATTGAATGATAAGGTGTCTCCAAAATTTTGGCCTGTACTGTATATTACTTTTTACACCATGTAATTAATTATTTTCTTCCCCTATGAAATACCGAAAAAATTAACCAATATAATATGTACTTTCTGGTAGGTGGCTCTGGACGAAGAAAATTATGCATTGTACCACCTGAAGCTGACGGCTATACAGGAGCTTACCTCAGTACAGTTGGACGTGGGAAGTCAACACTGTACATTGTCCCTGTCCAAGGAACTATCGATATGTCACCCCTTCCTTACTCTGCAAAAGAGTTTGAAAAAATGCCCAAAGCACCTTGTCAGACATGTTCAGTAAACATGCCAATCCAGTTACTGGCTGCCCATGTAGAAAGCTGTAAAAATGAGTCTTTCAATCAGTACATATGAAGAGGTAAAATAAATTTATTCTGAGTTAGAATTATACAATTTAAATATTCTATATTGCACAGTAGAAATATTAATTTAGATGCTTTGTTTCAGATTGAAGACTTTCAGGAATCAGCAGAAAGCACACATGCCTTTGATGTGCTTGGGGATAATGCCTCTGACACTCCAGAAAGTGTCATGTCTATGAAAGTGAGTAGTTTATCTTTAATTGTAATTATTCCTTAAGATGCCTATGGTACCAGAAAAATGAATACAAATGTCTACATGTTCTTTTCTTGACTGTCATATTTATTTTCCTTGCTAAATATTCTTCAAATCCAGATGTTAATTTATTTGACATGTTTCTTCAGGGAAAATCAAGTTCATAATATCCATCTGATGTTACAGTGTTGGTATACCCCACAGACAACAACCAAAAAAAAAGTTACAATATAAACATTTTCTTCCAGCAAAGATTTTGACGTTTATAAATAGTTTGGATTGTGGAAACACAGTTATGTCCTTGTTTTCTGAAGTGAAATATAGCTTTATCAGGGTTTAATGTTCTTGGTACATTTACAGGTTTTACACAGTAACACTAACAACACCACACGTTAACCCTGGTTTCACACTGAAAGCATCTGCATCGCGCAACAGCAGCGGAACATGACTGCTAAAAATACAATCCATTAAAGTCTATGGAGTGATTCAAACCAGCTGCAACGCCCCTGTTTTCAGAAATGTCCCAGAAGTGGCAAGCCACGCTGCAAAACATGTGATCGGGTTCTATTTTTGCCACAAGCCACTTCTGGAACACGTTAATTTCCACAGTTAACATAGGACTAGACAGGAAATCACACATGGTTTTATTTTAAATTCACCAGTAAATTTTTAAATAAAAGTAGTGCTGCAATGAAATTTACTATATATGTAGCTTACATGTGACCAAACGGCTTATTTACTCCCATTATCTTTCCAGAAGTGCAGCGGTGTGTTTTTCATAGCTTTAAACCTGGAGATGGAGAGGAACATTACAGGGAGTGCAGAATTATTAGGCAAATGAGTATTTTGTCCACATCATCCTCTTCATGTATGTTGTCTTACCCCGGGTTTCCACAGGAGCCGTCAGCAGCACGTTATTGCAGCAGCACGTCTTGCTCGCGTAAACTGCTGCTTGGCCCTTCCCACGAGACGCGAAGCAGCAGGGGTGCAGCTGTCACCGACAGAGCACGAATTCACACGAGTGACTTCGTTAGTAAAGACAAGCAGGAGAAAATTACAACATGGTTTGTGTTTTATGTTCTGTCCGTTTTATAATCGCCAATACGGACCTGAAAAACAAAGGAGACCGCTAGCTAGGTGATAACTTCTCACGGGGCCACAGTTAGTAACCTTTTTTAAAAGTAAAGCAACCGGAAAGCAGTACGTTCTTTATTCTGAAAATCTCGGTAGCTTCTCTCAATTTCCGCGTCCGATTTCCTGTCTTTCCTTCCCCAAAAATGTCGAACTTGACCCGTTTCAGAGGCGTCGCGCGTAGAAAATAGAACCGGCGCGTAAAGGCCGCGACATGCTGCTCCTGAGACGCGGCCGACTCGCGCTGCTGACGGCTCCGGTGGAAAAGGTTCTGTTGACCACAGCGGTTCCTATCAGCAGCTATGACGTGCTGCTGCAGTAACGTGCTGCTGACGGCTCCTGTGGAAAGCCGGGGTTACTCCAAGCTGTATAGGCTGGAAAGCCTACTACCAGTTAAGCATATTAGGTGATGTGCATCTCTGTAATGAGAAGGGGTGTGGTCTAATGACATCAACACCCTATATCAGGTGTGCATAATTATTTGGCAACTTCCTTTCTTTTGGCTAAATGGGTCAAAAGAAGGAATGGCAGACTCAGAAAAGTCAAAAATAGTGAGATATCTTGCAGAGGGATGCAGCAGTCTTAAAATTGCAAAGCTTCTGAAGCGTGACCATCGAACAATCAAGCGTTTCATTCAAAATAGTCAACAGGGTCGCAAGAAGCGTGTGGACAAACCAAGGCGCAAAATAACTGCCCATGAACTGAGAAAAGTCAAGCGTGCAGCTGCCAAGATGCCACTTGCCACCAGTTTGGCCATATTTCAGAGCTGCAACATCACTGGAGTGCCCAAAAGCACAAGGTGTGTATTGCGTCCATGACTCCTGGTGTGAAAATGATGCTTTGAAGCGAGTAAACCGTTATGTGCCATTTGGTGCTGCTGATGCCTCCAGTGTTAAATAGGGGTAAAAATCTCTGGTTCTTTTCCAGTATGGTCTACACAACATGAACTGAATTTGGATTACATAATTAACACAAATGGTGTTTTGATTATCTTATAATGATTTCAGTTCCTTTTGTATATATGTGCATATACTAATGCTGAGGTTTCTTTTAGGCAGAGTGTCCAATTTGCGAGAAGATGTTTTCAAGTGACCTGCTGGAAATCCATGCAAGCTACTGTGGTGAAAGGTATTCCTGTTTTTATTCAAAACACTATTTTACTGTCAAGTGCTGTGCTTTTTAACTATATCTTTTTTTTAATGCAGTAAAATAGTGTGATTTGCAAGCTTGCCCCACAGCAAGATGGTCCTATAGGTTAAAATAATAGTTATGGAGTTTACATGTTGTCCTGTTGCGTGTCTGTTAGAAATGCATTGTACCTTCAGATTTCACATGCAAGACAAGTCTAATGTTATTATGGCCTTAGGGGTATGTATGATTAGTTGTCCTATGTGTCAACCCTGTAGTAGACTGGCTACTGGCATTTAGAAGTTTGTAGAATTAATACAAGGATGTTTTATGAAAGATGTCATTTGTATTTTCACAGAGCCTCTAATGCATCAAATCCAACCACATTGGATGACTCAGAGTTGGTCCCAAAAAGACTGAAAACACATACAGACACAAAAAGGTTATTTTGCACAACATGTCAAGAATATGCTATTTGACTGACACAATTGTTAAAATGTTTCAATTTTAACTCTTTGCTGTGAAACCATCAGCATTGCAGACATCATCAAATGCCTTAATGAAAGAGTTGATGAAACAAGCATCTTCAACATTAGTGTAACAAGGGAAGATATACTGGAAAGGGGGCTGAAACAATGGCAGCGCCAGAAAAAATCATCGCCCCGTCATCCCCTTAGAGTTTCTTTTATTGGGGAGCCTGGAATCGACAGCGGAGCACTGAGGAAGGAATTTTTAACAGGTAGGGGTTTTGTTTTATTTTGGGTGGGAGTAGGTAGTCATTTCCTTGAAATCATATCATATGTTATGTTTTCAAATTCTTGTTTGTGATCTCTTTAAATGTGGTGCTCTCTGTTTTTTTTTTTTTTTTTTATTTACTTAAACAGACATGGTTTCAGGTATTGAGACACGTTTCTTTGAAGGAGGAGAGAGCGGTAAAAACCCCAAGTATTCAATGATTGACGTGGATAAACACAACTTCCAGTTTGTTTTTTAAACTTATTTTCTATCAATTCATTTGTGTTTTTATTATTACTTGTAAATGCTGTCCAATTGTGCAGTTTACCTATACAGGTCCTCCAAAAATTAGCATATTGTGATAAAGTTCATTATTGTAATGTACTGATAAACATTAGACTTTCACATATATTAGATTCATTACACACAACTGAAGTAGTTAAAGCCTTTTATTGTTTCTAACATTGATGATTTTGGCATACAGCTCATTAAAACCTAAAATTACTGTCTCAAAAAATTAGCATATCCAGACAATAATGAACTTTATCACAATATGCTAATTTGGAAGGACCTGTATTACAGACATAAGTTATTCAGATTCTCAATTCAATGTATGTAACACAAATTAATAAAACACAGTAAAATACTTCATTAACTCCACTTGTTGCGCAATTCACAATTGAATTCAGTGTATTTTCTATTTTTATAATTTACAGAACAATAGGAGAAATATTTGCAGTCAGCATCACACAGGGTGGACCACCACCAAACTTTTTAATGCAGTGGTGCTACAAGTACATGTCAAATGGGGAAATCGACCAGGATGGATTAAATGAAAATGATGTTACTGACCCTGAACTTATGGAACTCATGAAAGAGGTAAGAAATAAAAATGTGAAATACTTCTATGTCTTTAAACCACAAAAATGTCCTTGACCTCAAATGATTTTAAGTTATCTCTGTAAGATTAAAGAAGCAGATGAAACAACACTGATGACCTACACCGACAGGATTTTGTTGTGTGGATACACGGGACCAATAACCATTCAAAAGAAGGAAGACATCCTTCGGTAAAAGTGTCTTAAAAGAGCTTTAATAAAAGACACACTGCATGCAGACTAGGGCTGGGCTGTATGGCCTAAAATCAATATCACTGTATATTAAGGAGCTCACCTTGATAATGATAATTGTGCGATAACATGTATTTGCCAAAAGAAATGCTGTCTACTAGTTGGGGCTGTCACGTTTTCATAAGACTGGAGGTGGTACAGCATGTTAAAGGGACGTTAACATCACCAACCTAAAAACATATTTATATTTTTTTTCTGTATTTTATTACTGAATTTATTGACATGGGAAAGATATTGGCTACAGTAAGATAATTCAATAACAATACTTTATTTGATGCGTTGCCCATTACTAATAAATACAGATGAACACGTGTTTGGGTCAAAGCTCTAAAATATGGATTTATGTTTCAGCTCAACAGTCTTGCATGCCACGATGAGGTTGCTGCCTATGCTTCAGCAGATCTGCTCAGGAATGAAGCTATATGGTCTCCTCAGCCTGGTCCAGCAGGAAAAAGACATCTGCAGGCAACTGTTTGTGCCTGGATCTTTTGGCAAGGTACATTAACCATGTACTTGTAACCGAACCTACACCACATTCTCCCACCCAACCTTGCAGGCATTCTCAGAGTGTGAGGTTGCTAAAGTTTGACCCAACAAAAATCAGGCAGTGATGACTTTGATTTGTTAATTATATAAAATTGCAGCCACTATCATTGCTGCTCCCATTACACACATTTAGAAATTATCCCTACATGCAGCCCAAATAACTCATGCCTGGAAGTCAGCCTTTTTGCATCCTCTTTTAAAGGGTGTGTATCATTCAGATCACAACAGTTATAGGCATATTTGTGATTTGCCATGTCTTTCCAATGCTTTGGAAAAACTTTTAAATGGTCAACACTTATTATGTGGGAGCAGACAACATTTTATCTGATGTTTAATCATGTTTTAGACCTTGTTATGGCTGTTCAACTGCAACCCTCAAAGTCCTAAATGACATTTCTTCTTTTGACTCAAAGTTGCATTGTGTAGCTATTTCTATCAATTTTGCAACAGCGTTTCACACAGTGAATCACAAATTTCTTATTGATCGGCTTTGATATATTGTCATTGCTGATATTTCTTTATCTTTGTTCGCAAATTATTTTATAGACAGACAGCAGTTTGTGAAGTCATAACAACTCCACACAGGTCAATACTTGGTCCCACCCTTTTCTCCATTCACATAAATAATGTAGCAAAGTATGTTGTGGATTCATGTGTTCATCTCTATGCTGACAATGACAAAACAGTCCTCTACTCCGTTGGGCCGCTCTTTCTATAGTTTACTGACAACTACAGCTCAGTTTCAATAGTATACAAATTGCCTTTTCCAGTTTGCAACTTCAGTTAAACAAATCTAAAACTACAGCCATGTGGTATAGGGAATAAGGTGATATGCCATCTAATTAAACCAAACACCTCTGTGGATGGAACATCTGTAGAACAGGTTACTGAATAGAAATATCTGTTCATCTGGCTAGACAGTACTCTGTCTTTTTCAAAACATATCAACAATATACAGACTTAAGATTAAATCAAAACTTGGCTTCCTCTACAGAAGGTGTTCCTCATTCACTTCATCTGCAAGGAAAACATTGGTGCAATTCACTGTTCTACCAAAGTCTGATTATGGTGATGTCATTTGTCGATCATCACACAGAGGTTTAAAGCGAGTGTCAAGGCATGGGTGGAGACGTATTTCATCCACACTTCCTGTTAGGGAAACACTTCTGATATAGGCGTGTCTCTCAGGAGAACAGCATACACAGATTCTGCAGCATTCTGGAGGATTTCCTGTTAACCACAATCATTAGATGAGAAGGGGAGGAGGGCTTTATTTCACATAGGTAAGCAGCTCAGAGCGCTAACGTGTCATATCAGCAGGTAAGTAGCTGAGCCAGGTGGAGGTGTGGCTGCCTCACCAGGAGACCAGGGCGGTTCTGCCACATAGTAATTTGCTGATAACGTCACGTTTTTCATCTTAGCCATCAGCCACAGCTGGTTCCACATAAATGTGGAGCATAGTTTTAACCAAAAGATTGAGATATAATTATGGTTTTGGGATTAAATATTACATTTAGAATAAGTTATATTTAAGTGTCACACTAATGATTACACATGTGTACAGCACCATTAGACCCTCATGTATACAGGTTTTCAGCAAAACAAGTTAATTTAGGCATTACTTGCTCTTTAAGCTCGATGTTCTTTACCACACTGCCCAACGGTTTGTTACAGACGCTCTTTGTAAAACTCAATACTGTATTCTGTATTATCTTAACTGGTCATCATTGTACACATGTTGCTAAATACACTGTTTCATGTTCATTTTACCCTCCCACTGTCCTAATGGATGTGGCCCCTTGAGGAAAGTTGACCATTGACCAGGGTTGGTTTATCCCTTCAGGTCCATGTGGCAAAGGTGATGTGGTGCTCACTTGTCCCCCTTGCCACATGGACCTCAACGTATAAACCATCAGCCCTACTCAATGGTCAACTTTCCTTGCTGGGTCACATCTATTAGGACAGTGGGAGGGTTAAAAACTGTCCTTGGTTTGTCTCCTCCTTATTTGCAACATTTTTAATCTCCGGCTTACAATACTCTATCTGCAAACCTTATTTTGACAGTTCCTAAAACAGCTTATGCATTTGGCTCATTGTCCATTCAGACTGCAGCTGCTAGAGACTGGAACGACCTACAATAAACCCAAAAAATGGTCTTGTTTATCTCAAAGGCAGCTTTCAGAACTGTGATCACGGAGCATTTTCAAGGAACCTGCTGTTGTCACTTACACTGACTTATATTTATTTAGATCTTATATCTAATAGAGTTGATGTGGTGCACTTATTTTTTCTTATTAATGCAATTTAAAACTATTACATGATACCGTCTTTTTTGCCACTCATAAGGCACTGTCTTTTGCCAGGCCTCAGTTGTAAATAAGAAGTCTGTTCTTAAACTGTGTTTTCCTGTTTACATAAAGGTTAAATAATAAATAAATGTAATGTACTATAGATTTATAATACCAACAGAATACATTTTAATTTTACTATTGTTTGCATAATTAAGGTGGATGCTGACTTTCTAGTCCAGTCACTGTCACCCGTCTTCAGTGAAAGTGGAACAATGAAGCGTCAAAGGGAGAACAGAATAGTCAACTTTCTTCAGGACTTTGTTCAGGACATGGATGATCAGGGTAAGTAATGTATCCAGATTAACACTGTCATACATTTCTAAGTTTGTCTGAGAAATAGAGCAATGTTGTTGATTATTTAATTTTTTCAGAAGACACAACAGGAGGTGAGCAGTCTGAAGAGTTCAAAATGGATGCAAACCCGGAGAGAACAGAAGGGAACTTCAACAGTCAGTGGCTTAATGTTGGCAAATTTTGCCAGTGGCTGACTGGACAGCGTCACATCCCATTGAGTCCTACTGAGCGTGGGACATTCAAAATAGTCATGGAATTTGACCACGACTGCAGTGCACGTTTTGGAAAACATAGCATTTGCTACCCTGTGGTTAATGCATGTTCTTGTTCTATCACATTCCCAGTGTCACATTTAACCACATACTTGGAATTCAAAACTGTCATTTCACAGGCTATTATCCATGGAAATGAATTTGGACGACACTAAGAACTGAATACAGCACAGCAAAGAATCAAAAATGTGTGTTACCTAATTATACTAGTTCATGTTTTCTGCATGCAGTTTTTTCATTTTTAGTTACATAAATGTTCAGTTTTTACCATAAATGTTGAGTTTCACAAATTATTCACACATGAGGGATTGTTATGTACTTTATCTGTACATTGTATGATACAGGAAGCTGTACAGTAAAAAACAATGTTTTGTTTCAGACAATGTTGTATGTCACAATCATTAAGCAAATGTTTGCTGTTAAACATGTTAACCAAATATAATGATTTATGTAGTAAAATTTAAAAGTAGGACTGCAAAAAGCCAACAATGCTGGGAATTACATGTGTAAAAGTCATTTTACTAACCCAGCACCAGCATCATTACTAAGAGTGTGAGCGCAGTTGTCTCATATGTTCATGGCAGGTAAGATACAGCTGTTCATCTGTAACATTTGTGTTGGTTGGATCTACCACAGTCTGTAGGTGATTAATTTCTTCTTCTGTAAAAGGGCTGTCATATTCAGGAACTACAACGCCAGTTTCAGGGTCAAGGCCATTGTAATCAACTGCAGTCTCCCAGTCAATTTCCGGTTCGTCAAGGTCCTGTAAATTTAAGAACAGTAAAAATACTTTTCCGTAAGTACATGTTATGTATGTACATGTACAAAACATAACGGAAAAAAAGTGAAAAAATAAGTTGTAAAGTCATAATGATCATCCAAACCTATTCAATTAAATACATTAAAATCATCAAACTGTCATGACAAGTCTAAAACCAATGACAGATTATAAATGTATCTTGAAAGAATATTAAAAAATTAGGTATGTTAAAGCAGCTTTAAATGAAAGGGTCTTCAGCTGCATTTTAAAGGTATGCGAGCATGCTGGTAAACACAAAGAAAAAGCAAGTTAATTTCAAAGCCGGAGGGAAATAGCTTGTAAATACTGATCACCTGCGTGAACTTCTATATCTGGCATTGGGAAATTCTAGAAGGTTCTGGTTTTTAGAACTGAGGGCTCAGGTGTAAGCATAAGGCTTATATATTTTTATTAATGTTGACATACATTCATCCACATAAATTAATTGAGATTTAGCTTTAGAAGATATTTGGATTTTACTAAATGTCATTCATGGACTTTTGTCAGAAAAAATTGCAGATGTTTCCCTGTTTTGATAAATGTCTAATATCTGGTAACATTGAACACTGCACCGTAAGTGCAACCTCTGCATCTTTTGTCCATTTATAGTTTATTAAATAACATGTAGCAGTGTGTCCTACATACTCTACAAAAATGTAGATACATAGGAGTCAGATGTAGTATTTTTGTTTTTGGGGGGACCTTTACCAGATAAAATGTAATTGACATCAACAATGTATGAGGAACATATGTAATACTTCTATGCACGTATTGGCTGTTAAAATTCCTTAAAGTGCCTTTATCTTTATCAAGAAAATATAAAAAAAAAGATTGTCTGGTCTCTACTACTTACCTAGTTAGAGGAAAACGTCAAGCAAAAAAAAAAATCACCTCAAGATGTTCATTTTGGACATTGCTGGTAATCAACTGGCCAATCCCCCAAATCTGTGTTGGACTTCTGTTTCTCTCGGTACGAATTGGATGGTGGTTCCAACCTTCAACAAAAACTTGAAGATCTCTCTGGAGTCTTGGCAGTATTGCGAAGTGCACGCAGAAAATGTCCTCTGTGCAAGAGATGTCCAGCAAACTGTCCTCCTCAAGACTGTGCAGAATGTCGTAGTACTTTGAGGAAACAGAGATCCAAACATCGCGCCATAATCGTTCGATCCTGTACAGAACACATACAATCTGTCATCCATCATAGTAAATATAAAATGCATCAGTACCTAAAGTTATTAGTTATATTTTATATGCAACACCTAATTATGCAAATTGGTGACAACCACTGATAATACTTGAGTATGAGGAGCTGTGTAAGCTTTAATAAATTTTGTTACTCTCACATGTATATATTGTTCTCTAACATACCAACACACACTTTACAAAATCAGTAAGAAGAGGATTGTGTGTGTATGGGAGAGGTCCAGAGGTCCTGAGATTATACATTTATTGTTCTTATGCAGATCGCACATCATAATTTGTCTACGTTAATTTTAACATGACAATGGCACAAACTTAGCAAAGTGAGACGTAAGGACTGGCGTTTGAGGTGTGTGCACCGAGACTAACCTGTCGCTGATGTGCCTGGGCATATCATGGGCGTTCACAAGGATACAAGCTTTTCTGTGCTTGTTCCCTAGCAACACATCGGCCCAAGTACAAAAAGGATGGACAGAGGGATTCAACCAGCAAGTTTTTGTCTGATGGTAAATGACATAGGCTTATCCCAAGAGATAGTAAAATGATGTGTAAGAGGCATTATTGTGGCCAAAATGTTTGTCAACTGTAATTAGATTTGATATAAAGGTGTCATGTCCAAGATTATTCATACCCTTCAATGACCATAAGTCTCTGGGAAAATCAAGATCATTCCACATAATCCAAGCTATTCTGAAGCATCTTAATTACACAGATTAATTGGGAACAAGCTGTTTTAATCAACTCCCCAGGTTAAAAACTGGGGAAAGAACTGAAACTTCTGAAAGAAGTTTATTTTAAATATTATGCCTATTGTACATTGTCTTATTAGATGCTTTGAGCTATTTTTGTGTTCGTCAAAGAAAAATTTGATGTTTCAATAAAAGTTACTTGTTAAGTCCAAATTTTCCAAGATATGGGCAGCACTGTATGTGTGTGTGTGTGCATAGAATATGTGTGTATGAGTATGCAATGTGTGTATGTATGACAATAATGGATGCGTATCTGAGGAGAATATCTGCATGTGACAGTAACCGAATGTATTATGGCTTACACAGGTCCTCATACCTCTGTGAGATCACTTGAATATAAAGCTTGATTATTGTAAATTCAAAATGTCACAAGATAAATATTTTTTAAAGAAAAAAATTGTTTTGGATTACTGCAAAATCTTACAGGAAAAGAGAAATAAATAAAGGGTATTCAACCAAATTAAATAAGTTATGTATTAAAATAAAATAAATAAATGTACCTTTGGTTGTGTACACTTTTACCAGAGATAAAGCTGCCTCTGTCAGTGCCGCGGATGGAGAACATGAACCGAGCAATGTCCACATTCTCCACTCCCTGGTCTGCTCTTACTCTAAATTCACAGCATTATGGAATATGCAAAATATTAGATATTAACATTGTTATAAATTACCCTACGATCTCATTAAATCAGCATTACACGAATGCATTGTGCTTAAAATTGACCTAAGGAAATAATCATTTGCAGACTGACATCAAAAATTACTTTTAAAGAAACAAATGTTACCTTGAGGGTAAACCATGTTGTCTTATTGCCTCCATAAAGAACTCAAAGGCTGTGGATGCACGGTTGTTAGTTGCTGCATTCAGGTACAAAATCTGAAAATACAAAGTAAGTTTTATGTGGCAATTTGCTATCCTCTACATTTCTGATCAAGTGTAACATAGGACAATAGAAAAAATTTGCTGATAAAATTAATGAGCTTCTTTCTTTCTTAAAGCTTCTTTCCGGAGTATTTCTCTTATCTGATGGCACCATCTAGTGGCTAGCAAGCATATCACACAAATAAATGTGCTTGTTAGCCGACAAATGGAGCTAAAACACACTGTTTAACGAGTTTTATTCTGCTGTCATGTTGGGTTTTCATATATTTATATTTTATAGACTTACTTGTCCGTGAAAAGTTCATCAACTCTGCATCTGACGAGGTATTCCTTCAATTTGAAGCAAGTAAGCGGTAGTCTAATGCTATTGGTTATTTCTTGTCGACGCTTAGTTTCCAATTAAATGGAGCTCTGTGGGGCAGGGGATGGGCTTAGCAAAGTAAAAAAATAAATAATAAATACATATTGCTTACTTTATCTTATCATGTACTGTGATATAATCACTTTTACGGATTTCTGAAAAATCATACATGATTTCTGAAAGGGGAAAACTCCGGAAAACAGCTTTAAATCACCTTTTTGAATATAATGAAAGACATGACGTGCTGACTGCAGTGTAAAAAAAAAGCTTTTATCAGATTCACCACTAAACCACAATTTATAGTGCCAGATACATAATAATAATTATAGTAATAATTATAATAAAATAGTAATGTAATAATATCAATTACTATTATAATAAATATTATTGTTATTATAATAATAATAATTATTATTATAATAACAATTCATTTTGTTTAAAGTGCCTTTCAGGGAACTCAAGTTCATTGTGTAACAATATAATAAAAGTCGCAAAAACAGCAAGACAAAAAATATTAAAACCACTCAGATAACCAACCCCTGTAACCACAGTCTTGAGTTTTTATTTTAGATGCGAAGATGTGGAGTGAGTAATTCAAAACAACAATAAATACCTTTCTGGAGAAACCATCCACTCCTCCAAAGATCACTATGTTGTACCTGTGCAGACATTAAGCAAACCATCATAGCCAATACCTTCTACAGTAATTAAAAGCAATTTGGTAACTTTTTCTTATAAAGTGTGTTAGATTTTAAGTTTTAACAATTTCAAGTTATCATTTTTTAAGAAATTTGATCAACAAGACGATAAAATTCGTTAATACCAATCTTAATTGGATTTATATAGTGTATTGCAAGGAACTCAAAGCACTTAACATTAACTCACTCACATTCACACAATACCCTTAAGGATAAGCCACTATATAGCTACAGCCGCCCTGGGGTGGTCTGACAAGAGGCGAGCCGGCCATTTTGTGACATTGGCCCCTATGACCACCAATACAGGCCAGTTGGTTGAAGTGTCTAGCCCAAGTACACTACAGCATGATACCGTTGCAGGACCTTGCAGTCATTCTATCATGAGACTACCCGCTCTACCAACTGAGACATTGCTACCCCACTTAATTTAATTTTTTTTAAATTTTGAAATATCCAGCCTTTATGTCTTGATTCTACAGAAGTTAAAAAAAATTATATTACTTACTCATGTAGGCTTTGGATAATTAATAAAATAATTTTAAAAAAAATTATAATGTCAGTGTTGCACCTGTTGTTTGACCAATTGCTTTGTAATGATAAACATTTAGGAAATATCTATTAACATATTTTTTTGGAATACATTTTAGCCAACGGGTTTCTGGATGAAAAAGATATTTATATTTACAATTGTTT